TCTATCAACTCCCACCGTATCTCGTCCTCACCTAATTTCTCTACTCGCTTAATTTCTTTAATAATCATAATAATATTTTATAAAATATATAAAAAATTTAATGAAAAATTAAAATTTTATATTTTAAATAATAATTTTTAATAAAAATATTTTATATAATATATGAAATAAAAAAATATAAATTAATGTGCTTTTATATCATGACTTGACTCGGGCCCCTAATATAAATTATGTTTCCGCATGGTTCCCATCAAAAGGGCTTTGGAGTTTGGACCCCGGAGAGCAGACACAGAGAAGTCTAAGGGCCTGTTTGGTGTGGCTTGTGAGAGTTTTAACTTTTTGAGTACTGTTATGACTGATAAGTTTAAATTTTTATTGGAGGGAAAATAGAGTTTTAGCTTTTAGGAAGGTGAAAAAGGGAGTGAAAAGTAAGTAAAAAGGGAGTTTATAAAAAGTTTGGATTTGAAACTTTTGAACTTTTACTGTTTAAAAGCTTTTTGAGGTTAAAAAAATATTTAAAAGTGTAAGTCTTTAAGAGGGAAATTTAAATTCATGAGACATAAATAGTGTCCAAAAGCTAAAGCTCCTAGGAGCTGTACCAAACCTGCCCTAAGTCTTCATCTGTCATTGTCTTTATCATTAATAGGTGTTGTAGACCTCTCATCAACCCTCGGAAAGGTGTACCTCGTTCATTAAATGTACATCTTCTTCCAAAAGAAGAAAAAAGAAAAAAGAAAAAGAAAAAAACCAACCCTCTGTCAACATGTAGTTCCGTCATTGAACCAAAATGCAATGTCACTTAGGGGTGGGCAAAAACCAGTTTCAGTTGAAACCAAAATCGGTTTTAAAATAATTAAAAATTTTTTTATTCAATTTTGAGAATCGAAACCAAACTGAAGTTTTCACAAATCGATTGATTTAATCACCAATAAAATCGGTTTGATTTCAATTTTAAGTAAATAAATATTAATCAATTTTTTTTAAAATAATAGATTATATTTTATCTCATATTTTATCATATTTATCCAAATTTTGATTTTCAAAAAGTTTATTTTCGGTTTTTGATTTATGAAAAGTTCAATCAAAATCAAATCAATATTTATTCAAGGAGCGAGATGGAAATGGCGAAAAGCATCGGCAACAAGGCATAGTGGCAAGGAACAACGACGAGAAGTAAGGATGAGTCTTCCGGATCGAGATCTTTAACTGATAGGTTGCCAATGTACGACAGTGGTCTTCTAAAAAGTGCTACTTCCTACCTTTTCACCAACTTTCCCCAAAACTGGTCTCCAAAGAGGTTCTGGTACATGTTTGCCACTTATGGTGCTGGGTTAGGAAGAATTGTTGATGTGGTTATCCCAAAGAAAAAAGACAAAAAAGGAAACTGCTTTGGTTTCATACACTTCTCAAGAGTCAAAGACAAAGGAAGGTTGGAAAAGTCGCTGAAGATGATCTGCTTGGGCACTGAAAAGCTAAGGGTCAGCCTAGCCACAGAGAGAAAACCTTCCTAACCCAAGCTCACCATGCCCCGTCACCTCCCTCCACCTCCATCTTCTAAGACTTTTAAATCAAGATCCTTTGCTGATGCACTCCTTAATAGGCCAACCCCCTCGAAACCGTCCAACCAACCTCTCCTACCAAAGAACCAGTCCCATCCCCAACTAGCAGCCAACACGAGTGAACAAGTGAAGGAACAGGCAAAAATCCTAGAAGTGGAGGATGATGTGGAAGATTCCAGTTGGCTTTGTAATTGTGCCACATGCGAGGTTCTTGAGCCATGCCTCATCCCTGCTCCGCAACAGAAATTTTGGGAAAATGGGTTCACATTCATTTCAATTATTCCTATGGGAGGTAGCAATGTTCTACTAAAAGCTGATGATAAGGGTTCTCTAAATAAATTTATAGAAGAAGAGGAATCTTGGTGGAGCAAATGGTTCAAAAGAATAAAGCCTTGGAGACCTTTGAACATTGCTACGGAGAGACTTGTTTGGGTTCGAATAACTGGTATTCCCCTTCATGTCTGGAACTTGAGGTGCTTTGAAAAAATAGAAAATTACTTGGGAAGTTTCATTATGGCTGATTAGTTTACAAATGATAAGGAGTGTTTAGATGCTGCTAGAATCCTAATTTCAACTACTGAAGCAAATCAAATTGACAAGGAAATTACTTTGCGTGTGCAAAGTCAACTTTTCCAACTAAAAATCACGGAGGACCGTTGGCGGACTGATCCATGGTGGCTTAAAGCATCAGATGTCTATGACAGCGATGATTCCAATTCGGATGGTCAATCTGTTTCAGAATCTGATCAGTATTTCAATAGCTAAGGCTTCCCTTCCGATGATGAAGTTGAGCAACCATGCCAGGCTGGAAAGCAACCATTAAATGAATTACTGAACAAGCCTGCTGATTTTGTCAGTCCCAAGAGGATTGCAATCTTGGGTAATAATTCAGCCACCTTGGAAAAGGCATCTGGTGGACCCACTAAATGTCCTATGTTTCATAATGATGGTGAAATTAATTCTTCAGACTGGATTGACTCTTCATTTCTAAAAGAGTCAAAAATTGGGGAAATTTTATCTATTGATCAGGATACCCGTGCAAGCCCACCTCAAGCCCATGAGAGCGCAAACATGGCCCATTGCAACTTCGATGCTCCTACCAATGTTGCTAAATCACCACTGCAGGGAAACCCAATCTCTCAACAATCCTTTAACTGTGCTCAAAATACGAAGAACCTAAAGCTTGCGACCGGGTTGCTTCGTGGGATTAGAAAGAAGTCAGCAAGAATGGGGAAGAGAGGTAAGAGGCATGGCGACAGCCTTTCAAGTCCTTCTTTTTCTGATAGCATCATGGAGAAAAGAATCCAACTTAAGGATATCAGTATTGAAGACATGAATATCAGACGTTTTGTGGAGTTTGGAAGACAATTAGGGTTGTGCTTTGTGGGTAATGAAGAAATCTTTGCTTCCAAATTTCGTGAGTCAGAAAAGCGTGATAAGGGGCTACAAAAGTCCTAAATCATGCTGCTCTATCTACTAGATCTCTTCTTAAAATGAAGGTAATATCTTTTAATATTCGTGGGCTTGGGAACAGTGTTAAGAGAAAGGAATTGAGGAAGATAGTTAGTGGTGAACATGTGAATTTTTTTATGATCCAAGAAACAAAACTCAAGACAGTTGATGAGAATCTGTGTAGATCAATTTGGGGGCAAGAGGGCTTTGACTGGTGTGCGAAGAGTGCAGATGGCAGATCTGGTGGTCTTCTTTGTATTTGGGATTCTCACTTATTTAAGAAAATTGATCTATTTAAAGGAGACGGTTTCATAAGTGTAGAGGGTCTGTGGGGGGCAAATAAAACTAGTTGTTTCTTTTTAAATGTTTATGGACCCTGCAATGTCACGGGTCGTGCAAAGCTTTGGAATGACATTTCTGCCCATATTAGTTGTCGAACGTGCATTTTCTATTTTGGGGGAGACTTTAAATGTGTTAGAGGAGTGTATGAAAGGAAAGGTAGAATGATTTCTCATCCTGGTACTGATGATTTTAATCAGTTTATCAATACAAATGGTTTGGTCGATTTACCGTTATCAAACAAGAAGTTCACTTGGTATAAGAGTGATGGGTCTGCCTAGAGTAGGCTGGATAGATTCCTTCTTTTTGAAAACTTTCAAAAGGCTTGGGGTGACTGTGTTCAAATAGCTATCAAGAGAAGCATAAGTGATCATTGCCCTATTAGTCTTAGCTCAAGCAATGCCAATTGGGGGCCTAGACCATTTAAGTCAATTGACAGTTGGACTTCACATCATGATTTTGGTAAAATGATTTAGAGTTTGTGGAACTCCTTCCTAGTTGAGGGATATTGGGGTTTCAAATGTAAAGAAAAGCTAAAGGCTCTCTGAATGCACCTGAAGCAATGGAACAAGGATGTGTTGGGTAATATTGATAGCCAACTAGATGAAGCCTTAAAGAATATTGAGGCAATTGACATCAAATGTGAAGGCCAAGATATTACAGAGGATGATATGCTCAAAAGGAAGGAGGGATTTGCAAACCTTTGGCAGTGTTTAAAGAAAAAAGAAAGTTTGTGGAGGCAAAAGTCTAGAGCTAGTTGGATTAAAGATAGGAATGCAAACTCTCATTTCTTTCACAGAATAACAAATGGGAGAAGGCAAAGAAATATGATTCATGGTGTTGATGACAAAGGAACTTGGATTGATGATCCTAATCAGGTCAAGTTAATCATCTTGGATCACTTTAAAAATCAATTTTCCTCCCAACCTCAAAACCGACCATCCTTGGAGCATATCTTCTCTAACAGCTTATCTAGAAAGGACAGAGAAATGTTGGAGGCTGAGTTTACTAATGAGGAAATCAAAGAAGCAGTCTTCTCTTGTGCAAGTGACAAAGCCCCTGGACCTGACAGTTTCAACTTCCACTTTATAAAGTCTGTATGGAGCACTATTGAAGGAGATATCACTAACTTTATCAAAGAATTTCACAAGTATGGAAGGTTGGTTAGAGGTATCAATGCTTCATATATCACCCTTGTTCCTAAGAAGAAAAATCCCACGACTTTCAAAGAGTACAGGCCAATTAGTATGGTTGGGAGCCTTTATAAAATTTTAGCTAAAGTTTTAGCTAATAGGCTACGGAAAGTCATTGGAAAGGTTATCAACATGACCCAATCTACTTTTGTAGAGGGAAGATAGCTTATTGATAGTGTCTTGGCACTCAATGAATTGGTGCATGATTTAAAAAGAAGGAAGGAAATGGGTATCTTGTTTAAGGTAGACTTTGAAAAGGCTTTTGACTCAGTTGATTGGGATTACCTTGATTCTATGCAGTCTTCCTTGGGGTTCAGAGACAAATGGCGTGGGTGGATTAAAGAGTGCTTAACTTCTGCATCTATTTCAATTCTTGTTAATGGGAGCCCCACGCATGAATTCAAAATGCAAAAAGGGTTTAGGCAAGGTGACCCCCTTTCTCTTTACCTATTTTTAATAGTTGCTGAAGGTCTGCATGCTTTTGTTCATGAAGCTAAAAACAAAAATTTCCTTACTGGTATAGCTGTTGTTAGAGATTTATCTGTTTCCACCTCCAATTTGCTTGTGACACTATTCTCCTTAGGAAAGCTTCTCTTAAGTCAATCAGAGCATTCAAGTTTATCCTTAGATGGTTTGAAATTATCTCAAGGCTTAAAATAAACTTCAACAAAAGCACCTTGTATGGTATTAATATTGAGGAGAATTGGCTTAATATGGCTGCCTCTACCCTTAATTCAAAGTGTGGGCATCTGCCCTTCCTTTACTTGGGACTCCCTATTGGTGGCAACCCTCATCATCTCAGATTTTGGAAACCAGTGGTTGAGAAGTTCCAGTCTAAGTTGGCAACCTGTAAGGGAAAGCTCTTATCATTTGGAGGACGCATCACACTTCTCATGTTGATACTTTCTGCTCTCTCTCTTTTTTATTTTTCTATTTTTAAAGTCCCTAAAGGTGTTGTTAATGAGTTAGAGAAAATACAAAAAACCTTTTGTGGGGGGGTTCAAACAACTATAATAAGATTGCTTGGGTTGATTAGGGGAGAGTTTGCCTTGATAAATCAAAGGGAGGGCTTGGCATGCCAAACCTTTCTATTAGGAATTCTGCTTTACTAGGAAAATGGTGGAATAATTTTTATGATACTGAAGAAAATGAGAAATTATGGAAAAAAATTATTGTTAGAAAATATTATGATGACGTTTCTTCTACTTCTATTTCTAACATTGCCTCTCCGAGCCTCTCTCCCTTTTGGAAGGATATCTTAGCTATTGGCAGGGATTGTGATAGAGCTTTTGGGTGTTTTGATGATGGTTTTATCTGTAAGCTTGGTGATGGCTCAAACACTAGATTTTGGAAGGATGCTTGGATGGGCAGCTCTCCATTGATGTTTTCTTTCCCCCACCTTTTTTGCCTTACATTAAGTAAGGATGCTCTGGTTGCCGAATTGAAGCTGGGTAATGCAGATGGGTGGGCTTTTTAGTGGCGTAGACCTCCCTTCGGTAGAGAATTGGATGAGCTTGAGAGGCTTGAAGACTCTCTCTAAAATCTTAATTTATCAGACGGAAGACCTGACAAGTTCATTTGGAGGCACTGCTCAACAGGTTATTCCTCTAAGCAAGCTTACAAATTTCTTGATGATTTCCCTCCATGCCTTGATGAGAAATGTTGCAAGGTGATTTGGAATCAGTTTATGCCATCAAAAATTAGTGTTTTTGCATGGTGCCTCTTCTTGAATAGACTACCCACTAAAGACAACCTCCTTAATCGTGGTATTGACCTTTCTTCCAACCCAAAATGTGTTTTTTGTGGTGATAGTGTGGAAGATATTAACCACATCTTTGCATTGTGCCGAATTTCCCAAAACATTTGGACTCGATTATGCTGCTAGTGGGGAACTCCTTTTTCTCCCGTTGGCAATGCCCCCCTCCTCCTTTTGCAACTTTGTTCACTTAAGCCTAGCATGAAATCTCAAAGTTGTTGGGTGCTTTCTGGTGTCACAACAGCATGGGCCATTTGGTATTTTCATAATGGTATTGTGTTTATCAACCTTACTTGGAATGAAAATACTATCTTTGAGTTAGTGTTGATAAAGACCTTTGGTTGGATAAAGGGAAAATCTAAATTTGCTGTGTTCAATTACAGTGATTGGTGCCAGTTACCAGCTCTATATGAAACTTAATTTTGTTTCTTATTTTGTAAAATATGAGTGGAATTCTGATAACAATGATGAGAGTATTATAAATATGAGTTAGAATACCTCTTGTACTCTATATTAATAAAAAAATTTATTTGGCTGATAAAAAAATCAATATTTATTTGGTTAATATCAAAACCAAAATATAAAACTCAGAAACCATTAAAATCAAACCAAATTCATTTTTTTGGTTCGGTTTCCAAATAATATTTCGGTTACCCACCCGAATGCCCTCCCCTAACCTCACTGGCAAAGTCAATGCCAACCAAGCATACATCCCATAACTTACAAACATTACCCCAAAAGCAACTGTAGAAAACCACACAACGGACATCCACCCCTCTGCTCTATACTTTAGCCCAACATTTGTTGTTGCCTACGGTATCGCTTCTGATAACATTGTCATTTCTACAGTCCGGGGAGGGATTGATCCACATACAATCCCTCCCTGTCATCCCTGAATTATATCTGTCAACTCCCACAGTATCTCCTCCTCACCTAATTTCTCTACTCACTTAATTTCTTTAATAATCATGATAATATATTGTAAAAACTCATAAAAATAAACAAGTTTTTTTTTGTTTAAATTTTAAATTTAATTTTAATTAAATAAAATGACATAATTTAATATTAAAATTTTAATTTTTTTTAAGAATTGAGATTTATATGTATTTTTCTTTAAATTAATAAGTTTAACAAAAATTTTTTGTGGCAATAACCTTTTTTTTTTTGGCAAAGTGGTTGGCAGGAGTTCTTTCAACGTAGAAGAACCAAGCATGGTTTCGGCAAGGAGATTTGAACTCGATTATTTAAAGATTCAAAACCGAACTTTTAGGGTAAATTCATATTTAGTCACTGAAATATCAACGTAGCATTCCTGAAACCACCCATGTCAATGTAGGGGACCCATTGGGATCTACAACATGGACGGGTTATAAACAAAGTTGTCAAAATTAGATTTTAAGTTAGATGTTTTGGTGAGATAAAATCGAAATCGTAAAATCGAATTGATAAAATCGAGAGTTTATTAAATTAATTAAAAATTTATATATTATTAAAGTTTAACATTAAATGTTTAAATTTAAAATTTATTTAATAAATTTTATTATTAATT